GGATTTGAAGCATTTTTAAGTCTTTTATGTATTAAAATGTGTTTACCTTTCTTCTTGGATTTTCTGTTTGTAAAACTTTTCCATTTCAGCCAAACTGTTAAAACATAAAAAAAAGAAGTTATTCCGATACAGGTTCAATTTCAATTTTCATCCCCCTTTTTAATGTTATTTTTTTTACAACCAATCTCTTAGTAAAATAGTAGTGTGTAAAAATGGTATGTGCCTTTTTGGAAGAAATTTAACAATTAATTCAAAAAAAATTTGAGGATAAAAATTCAAGTCTAAAATGAACTAATATTAGGAACAGAATGATTTAAATAATCATGGACATGTATATTGAGCGACAGTGGATAGAAATACTGGTTCATGAGAGTCCATAAAAATTGCAGAAATCTAATTACCCTGGTTTTTTGAGGTTCACTTTGTAAACTTCTTCCATTTCACCCAAACTATTTAAAAACATAAACAAAATTCATGTGTTAAAACGCATCAGATCATACATTCATAGTTAAACGCAGATTCTGTGAACAATATCAGATCAATATTTTTTTTTAAAAAAAAATAATACCATACATATAGAAAACAACACTAACAGTTTAAATTCTACATTTGTTTCTTTAAACAAAATAAATCTGTTTTGTTTGATATTGTAAATCACTGTTATTAAGCTATTATAAATTGTTGATCCGTTCCATGGCACCCTTTGGCATCCTTCTTTTGAGCCACTGGAGGAACTCCATGAACTCCAGTGAACTACATGCTCAGCTGATTTACAGGGATAAGGGTGGTCATCTGTCTCAATCCTGCTGAAGGTATGCAACACTGGACCAGTGTCCTGCACTGGACCAGTGTTGCATAGGATTTTTTTGACTGCTTTTGAGAGATTTTTACTCACTGAAACTGGGAAAAAATATTTTGAAAAATTAATCTCAGCCGGTTTTCAGTTGATGCGTATTATCAAGCATACCACTCTGCAAAAGACTAAAATTTCACTGTTTAAAATAATACCTTACAATGTTAGTATAATTATGTGGGTTTGTACAGTAGACGTTGATGTTTCACCAGATTAATCGAACAGTACCTCTCCATGACTGAATTCAGTTCCTCCACTTGATGTTTCACCACCATACTGTGAGACAAATATACAGCATGTAAAGCAAAAGTCTTGGTGAACAGATTAAAAAAATGAAATAAAAAGAAGAAATGAAAAACTTCAGACTTTTATGAAAGATGAGAAAAAAATGTTTACTTTGCCTGATGAAGTTTTTTTTCCATCTCAGCCAAACTGTTTAAAAACATAATATAGAGGTTATTCACGATATGCAATATATTCAGTCAGCTCCATGATTAGAAATACATCTGTATCTACAGTTTTGTGTACAAGTCCACCACCTGATTCAGCATCTCGTAGAACAAACTTTAGCAGCAGTAACCTGCAGTGATGTGTTACTTTATCAGCCAGAAGTCTTGTGCTTTGTTCACCCCCAGCTTTGCAAGCCTAAACCATTTAGCTATGTTCTTTTATATGGAAGAAGATTTCTCTCACAACCCTCCCAAACAGCCGTGCTTGAGCAGTTTTTTTCTAATTGTGATGTCATTATTATTAACCTTTAACCTGCTCACTGAGGCCTGTAGAGTTCCTGGGTTTGTGATGAATTTGGTAAAATGCCCACTCCTAGGAAGATTGTTATGTTCTCTGGTATATTTACATTACCTCTCCATATGTAATGAGTCCCCACCCCTTGGTTATGACACATAAATATATATCTTTAAGACACTCCAGCTAGCCCATCCATGCCCAAAAGCGTACATATAAAAGGGCTGTACAGAAGTAAAACCAGCGATCGTTGACACACTTGCGCTTTGTGTGGTAGCATATGTCGAGGCATTGTGTGTCTGTTTATGTTTGTATCACTGCAGCTTCTGACCCAAGCTCAGAAGCTGCAGTGAAAATATTTGCTGGTGCCTTTGTCTTGCACTCTCACATCCTGCAGTTCCTTCAGTCCCAGATGCAGGTGGTGAACCTACATGGCATGGTGGTGATCAGGCAATTAAGGAAGTTTGCGTTGGACACTCAGCATTTAGTGGGGCCACTTTAATCTCCTGGCACCAAAGGGCAGCCAGCAACTTAAAATTTGCATGCCAGGGCCCCTGGCTCCCCCCTTAGACCTGGACATGTTCTATGGCACCCTTTGGTGTCCTTCTTTTGAGCTGCTGGAGGATTAGTGAACTTCATGCTCAGGGTGGTCATCTGGCTCAATCCAGCGATTCTGCTGAAGGCCTTGTCCAAATTTCACCAATTCCAGTCCACTGAGCTACGGACAGATTCCACTAAGAGCCTTGACCAGGAGGTGGCTCAGCAGGCTACTCTGTACTCAGGTCATTGCAGGCGGCAGGTGTGGGTTAGAGAAACCTAAATTTCAAGACGAACAAACTGCTAAAACCTCCCTTATTCAGGTTATAGATATGCTCACACTTGCTGATGATCAATAACACAGGTCTGCGACCAGGGCAGATTTTTTGACTGTTTTTGAGAGATTTTTACTCACTGAAACTGGGAAAAAATATTTTGAAAAATTAATCTCAGCCGGTTTTCAGTTGATGCGTATTATCAATCATACCT